AGTGCCTCATACTCTTAGTGTCTCTTAGTCAGTCACTACACATGTATGAAAACTTTCCCAATGTGATCTTCATATGACCAATTTATATATTGGTCGTAACTAAATAGTTGTTACCAAATATCAGTGCAGTAAAAATTAGCTGGCAAGACTAATAGGGGGCGAGCCCTTGTCTGCCAAACTGAAAAGTCGGGCTATTTGCAAAACTAATTAGAAATAACTTTCCCCGGGGCTCCTCCTCCTCCTCCTGTCACTCTCCTGGGTGCCCCTGCCCCGTCTGTCACTCTCGTCTTTCTCCAGATTCGCCTCTCCCTCTCTCAAAACATAGCACTGAACCAGAAGAAGGGGCACAACTCAGGGGATGGGGGGAGGTGTGGCTCACACTTTAACTACATTATATACATCTTAGAGTGCAATATTCGTATTACATTATTCTAAGATAATGACTTTTTATTTAATAGCTCATCGAATTCTTGCAGTCAAAATAAAGATTACGATACTTAAAAAAATAGACGATTTTGGGCCTGACCACAGAAAAGCTGTATAAAGCCTACCAATCAGCGATTTGCATAGGCTTTAAACTTGCAAAGCATGAAACGTGGAATAATTGAAGACATCCCAGCAACGAGTATGTTGTTGATATGGTCTTCGTCAGCAGTTTCTTGGGGTTCGAGGATGATGCCCATCAGGTTTGAAGGTCGCTCTTGAGGTGGCTGAGGAGCCCAATTCTGGATCCGCAGATCTTAGGGCATTGGGGTTACCAGGGCTGGATTAAGATCATTGTAGGCCCTAGGCCCTTCTGTTTCCTAGGCCTTCAGTGATACATTTCTACATTTTGTATGGCTGCTGGCCATGTACTACCGCCACTGCCACTCTCTTGTTTCACACATATTTCATCCAGCCGCTGGAGAAATGTCGTCACCGACTATTTAGTCTGTGCCCTAATTCGATGGGAGTGTGCTGTGTGCTGCAGATAAGCAGATTTAATTCGAAATTATTGAAAAAAAAAAGACAAAAAATATTACAAGCGAGTCCAACTGAGTCGCAGACGTTAGCTTAGGAGCAACACTATTTATTTACACAACGGTACGTAACATGACACAATCTACACTCGGGCCTCGAATGCCCACCTAACCATGCTATGGCAGAACTAGATACGGTTCGCTATCCCGGTCCAGACCACAAGCTGGGTCCCGGACCGTGTGGCTAGAAGCTTCTTCTCTCCAACGTAGATCTTCTTCACACCAGCACACGAAGAACCTCGAGCTCCGCCCTTCGCCCCGCCCACCTTCCAGGTCTCTTGAGCTAAAATATTGCCGTTCATTTTCATCGATAACGTTATGACAGGACGACCGCGTCGCGAGCGCCATATTGCTTTACTTTTGTCTAACATTAAAGATTTATTCGACTGTTATTTTAGTTGTAATATATAACAAATCAACTGTTTGTTACCATTGGAAATAAATTGTAAAGAGCAGCCAATAAATTATCTAAAATTCTAATTTCACTTCATAAAAATATAAGTTGCTATATTCCCCCCGTTTTCCTTATATATTATCACTAGCTGTACTACCCGGCTTCGCCCGGGACTTGGATCCACCTCGTCCGGCCGCCTTTGTCTCCCCAGTGGGGATGTTCACACACCACAGCAGTTACGGTGGTGGTGAGTGGGAATCTAACTCGGGTCGCCGGGTTCGTAGCGCAGCGCGCGAATCACTACACAGTCGCTGCCCCCCCCCACCCCACACACACAGGATAAAGATCCCCCGTGTAGCCTGTGAGACTGTAGGGGGCAAGTGCTGTTAGCGAGCACCTATGAAGGCCGGCACGGCACACGAGGGGGTGGGTGGCCAGCACCACACCTTTGTCCCCCCAGTGTCGATGTTCACACACCGCAGCAGTTACTCGTTTGAGGCTGAGTCGACCATGGGGAGGCCCAGGACCGGTTAAAATAATCGTCACCGGTGGTGGCTATGAGCGGGAATCGAACTCGGGTCGTCGGGTTCATAGCGCAGCGCGCTAACCACTACACTACAATGCGTTACGCTTCCACATGCGCGGGTCACATGACAGATTTGACGTAACAGCTCACTTGCTGTGCAAAAAATATATGCTTTACTGAGCCCCCCACCCCCGAAAAAGTGTATTTTTCAAATTCTTGCATGGTGTACAGTCTGGAAAGTACCCACATGGCAAATTTCAAATTTGTTGCATGTCGGAAATTTCAGAAGTGGCAGGGACTAGGACTACTTGGCTGCTTTTTTAGGCTAAATTAGAAAAAAAGATTGTTACGCATTCGCCCTTCAGTTCATGCTTACTAGAATTCTAGTATAATTGTGTAATGAGAGCCTATGTACGGCTCACATGGTGATTGGCTCTGCCGGTCCTGCTCTACAGCCAATGGGGGGAGAGCCTGGGAGCATGGCCCTGGAGGGATCGAGGGATGTCAGCTAGGATGATTGGTTCTGCTACTCTTGGCCTCAGCCAATGGGAAGACAAGTCAGGGGCGTGGTCCCGGGAGTTGATGGAGGAATCTGGAACATTCAGCGCAGGCTATTAAGGATTGGCTGGAGCATACCACGTGACCCAGGCATTAAATAAGGGAAGAGCCGAGGGACACGTGGTCAGACAAGGAACGAAGAGAGAGAGGGGCCACGCGCGAGCGGGGCTCCGAGTGCCACGTGGCGGTGCGTCTCTTGCGATCTGTCTGCCCACTTCCCGTTGCCTACCAGCAACGGGGAGTGCTTGTGAACTGAGATAAGTAAATAAAAGGACCGATTCCACAAGCCGTCTCCAAGAGTATTATTACAATAGCATCTTTTCTTTCTTAGTAATCTGCCTAATATTTTGTTTGGTCTAGCTGTTCAGAGATTGTTACTGGTTTCTTGATTTATGTATTTATGTATTTATTATTTTAAATAATTCGCTCGTATACAAATTATTATTGAAATTTTGCAATTTTTTTGAGAATTTAGAATAATTTTTGTATTGTAGAAATTAGAGAAAAAAACATGTAGCATTGAACAAGGTTGTGAAGAGTGATGGTGCAAAACCTCCAATGCAATCATCAGCAATAATAATACAGCTGGATCATAATAATAGTGAACCTTGTAAAATTGTTCTTGAAGCTGAATTTTATTCGTACATAGAGGGTAGATCAAGTGAAAAACAGGCGAATGTGGGACAATGCATCGGTTGCTGCATTGCCAGCAGATTTTGATAAATAATTCACTGATTGATTCCTGTTGTTCCTGCATTTGTATGCAGAGATACAAAAAAACAGTGGCAGATTTGCTAAAAACCCAAATGTCTGACAAGCTGATTAGCAGGTTTCCGGATGTTTACATTTCTTTAAGGATGTATCTTGTTATCTTGGGAACGAATTGTGAAGGGGAGTGTTCTTTTTCGAAGCATAAACTGCTTTAAAAAAACCTGTCTCCAATTAAACATAGGACAACAACGCTTGTCTTCCCTTGCACTACCCTCTATTGAGAATGGGATCGTGCGAAGAACACCATTTGAAGATGTTATTGCTCATTTTGCAATTAATACATCTCTAAATGTTCATCTCCCGTGATAATTTCTCTCACCTTATGAAAAAAAAGATTGACATGACTCTGCCTATTTTTATATACACTCTGTCTATTCTTGCTTCATGACTATACAAATAACTTTACATGAAGACAACTGCATGAAAGCCAATATAAGTAAATGCATGTATGTGTTTAGGTGAGAACTCAAGATTCGAGTATAGTCTCAGTTTAAGTGACCATGAAGATTCATGATATCTGCCACTTTAAATCACGTAAGTCGTTTTTGAGCACCTGAGCCTTTGTGAATTCGGGCCCCGTCGTATAAGGGAAATCGTGACTGATTTGGGCCAACACAAGTATATTTTGAACAAGCTCCGAATCACAAATTTCATTTAAAAAAATGGTGGCAAAAAGCAGCACTAAACGTATTATCCTTACCGACTAAGGCAAGCAAAGCTCTACTCCAAATGCCGTAATGTACGTTTATTTTACAATCACACCATGTGTAGTGACATAGCGCTGTCTGCTGTCCAGCAAAGGCAATTGCGGTGGACAGTTAGCGCACACGCCGTCGAGCATATACACGGGTGTGCCGGCAGGGTGGAGGAACTTGTCACGGAAGACCTCATCTGGAAGCCTCTGGAACCCGCTAGTGGGTTCGAGAAGGGAGGCATGGCCAGGGCAGAGCAGTGCTGCGCTGAGTAGGATAAAAGCAGCGAAGAGCAAGAGCTCCGGACTGCCGGTTCTGGGAGTGGACTTTTCTCATCATCTTTGTTGTCTTCACTGCCTTCGTTGCTGCCGCCTTCACTCGATAATTGCGCGGTGGGATAGCTGTAGGCTGTCTCGATCAATGCGGTCAGGGTTGTGTCTAGGCTGGGCTATACAACTTGGAAGGAACGAATGAGGGCGAACCTGTGAACCTAAGAGTGTTAATAAAGAAGGTGCCTCCTCAAGAATTCTGTTTCCCCGCCCCGTTGACACTGCACACGTATCAAGTGTAGTCTATTTCCTTATTCGACACCTTACTAACGTGTGTAGTGAAAGATGATCGCAACCAAAAATGGTCTCGTAACAATAATATGCTTTCATAATAATGAAAAACAGGAACAACCACAAAACACAACTTTCCCCAACTCACACCAAAACCGCGGGAAGAGAATGGCTCTGCCCCTTTTACAATGATGACAAATGTAAGTTGTCTGCAGAAATTACGTCAGGTCTTAAAACGAACAGTTGTTTTGCTAATTCGATGCTTCCGATGACAAATTTACATTGGAAAGAGTTACATAATCCATGCACATCAATGATGTTTCCTCCTTGTTAAATATTTTGCCCTCCTACTGAAAACATTGCAATGTTCAGACTGGTGATATATGTATGTTGAACTTCTTTCGCACTGTACATAGCAGGTGATGCTGTTTTGCATCCTCCACACTGGATGCCGTAATGCATGAGAATCAAAGTTTTTACCTTCTGTACATCACCCAGTCCCTCTGTGTCCAGCAGCAAGAGGTACTTGTCATTATCAGGGTGGGGTCTTGGCCATACCCAGATGCCTTTGGTTTTTGCTTCTATACCCCGTCCCAGTGAGAAACCTGTAGATTTAGAGGAAATATATGAACAAAATTACAACCGTGTTTTTTACAACAATGTTAATACGATACATTGCTCGTATTAGGTATCTTTCACAATTTCTCAAGGCAACATGCATGGCAAGGACAAAGATAATAATTAAATAAATAAACTGGTGGAAAAATAAGGGCAAGAGAGGAACAAAGCTAATTAGAGGAAAGATTTTTTTTTTAAATGTCTTTTAGTCGGGACTCAAATTACAATTGCAGTGACATAGCCAACATTTCAGCCGAATATTTTTAGTCAGGGAGGATTCAGCATGTCAGCAAAATATGTTCAGCAAAACTTATACAAATACTTAAATTGGTGAAATCTCATTACCATCTGTTCTTGAGGACCGTGTATTTTAATACTATCTAATATCAAATACTTTAACCTGCAATTACAATTAAAAAATACGAGAAAAAAACTACTTTAACAAACGATGACTGAACTTTTGAAAGTAATTTTTTACAATTATTACGATCTAATCCAACCTAAATTTATATTTATAGAGCACCTTCACTCAAGGGGTGCACAAGTTTTGACGAACGAGTAACAGCGATAGAGGCGTACTTAGGGATCATGAAAGGGCTATAGGGGAGGGACAGCAAGGAGTGAAGGAGTGAGGGGAGGGAAGAGGAGAAGAATGGGCAAGAAATAATAGGTGAGATTTAAAAATCAGAATTGTAGTACCGGAGTAAATAACCCATCGAGCGAGAGAGGTATTTTTCAAGGGTGACTCGGCCAGCAGACAAACACGGCAGCAAGTGTTACATATTAATACATAAACATAATATAAAATGTACAAATAAACGAATTATAATATGATCTTACGAAACAATTATGTATATTCACAACTTGTATTGTCGTGAATGCAGAAACGTCTGTTTTTAAAAGAGTACAGAAAAGGAGATCCACAGAGAAGACACCAGTTGGTTCCTAAACGTTGGAGCAGCTACATGGAATGCTTTTGAACCAAGTTGCGTACAAAATCTGAGAATCGTGAAAAAAACAAGCAGAAACAAATCGCAGATTCTGTATTTTGTAATGGTATTAACAAATCTGATGAATAATGTTCAGAACTTTGGGTAATTGTCTTGTAAATGAATATTCCCCAATGACTTCTTCGTTCTTCTAGGGACATTAGCCCAACCATAGAATAGAGGTTACGGTGGTGCGTCCATACGGAGCATCCTCTGCAAATAGTAAATTTGTTTAAGAGTGAAGACAAAGCAGCCAGGTATGCTACTGCGTCACAGTACAGTTGAGAAATAACGGAATAAGTGTAGCTTTAATAAGATTATAAAAAATGTAATCTTTAAACAAATTAAATCAGGAAAACAGTGCATATTTCTGTACAAAGACAATTTTACATTTAACTTTTTAGATTAATTTATCAATATGCATCTGAAAATATAAAGAAGGACCAATAAAAAAACCCGAAGTAAAATAATGGTAAGTCTGATCAATACTTTGTCCATTCAGTGCCACAATGGACATCATAGGAAAAACACCACACTTCTCTTTAGGATAAAAGCCATGAATTTAGTTTTACGAATGTTAAGAACGAGTTCTAATGTAAACAGTTATTTTTGAAAAACTTTCAAATCGTTTTGAAAAATTGTATTGCAAAATAATTACATCATCTGCAAAAATGTATGTAACACAATCTATTAGATCATTAACCTAAATTATTTATACGTAAAGATAATAGTATTGGTTCCAATATCGAAGCCTTTGGCACTCTGATTAGATATGTTATCAAAATAACGAACCTGGCGTCGATCAGATTGATCGTTTTACCCAAGACAAGGCATCTGCTGAAAATTGTAACTGTTCAAGAGATGCCAATTATAAATTGTGATCAACGTTGTCAAAGGATTTTGAAAAATCAAAGAATAATGCTGCACAATATTGTTTATTATTGAAGCTATTGAAATTTAGTTTAATGCATTATATGTTTTTGTATTGTATTTTCACGAAATCCTGATTGTGGAAGGTTTAGAAGATTATAGTTTGAAATAAAATTAGTCAATTGTATTTTAATATTTTCCCAGAGACCTTGACAAGTGTTGACGAAATCGATATCAGAATTAACCACTTTATGTAACGGGCGTACAAATGCGGTTTTCTATGCAAAGGTAATTTAGATTTCTTGAAAGGACATTGAATAAGTGCACCATAGTTTCACAAATAATATCCTCAGCAGCAATTAGATAAAATGCAAGGATACCATCAATCCCTGGCGATATTGAGGTTAATAATACATCTCCCACAAAATATCCAGCTCTGTAATGGATTTAAAGATGTATTTTGGAAATTCGAACGTCGTATGTGTATCACCTTAATTTACTGAAATGTGTGGTGTTAAAGACGCACCATTGTTTGCTTTAATTGATCAAATCTATATCCTGCAGTAGGGAAGCGAGCATTCAAACCATTAATATATTATTCATCCTGAAGAATAGTATTGTGACAAATCATTTAACAGGTAAACCATTCACTTGAACATTATTTTATAAGAGCTTAACAGAGATCCAAAATAATTTGTGATTGTTATTTTAATCAATAAAGGCTTTACAGAAAAAGGAAGCCTCTACATTCGAGTCAGTCAAGTACAACGATTTCTTAATCGTCTATAAGACAGCCAATCAGCATTGAGGTTTGAAATGTTAGCAAGCGACCAAGCTTAATCTCTTGATTTCATACATATGGAAATTTGCATATATATAAAGGTCAAAAAAATGTAAATAAGGGCCGACATGATCTAAGAACGCAATTTTACAACTAAGATTTCGATCGAAGTTAGACATATCGTGTCTAAAAGCCTGCATTCGAGAGGAACGGAAGGAGTTTAATGGGGAACTGTTGAAAGTTTAGGGGGAGTTCATTCCTGTGGATAGGTGTAAGGAGGGAAAGTTCTACATGAAGCGAACACGATGCGATGAACATGACCCACCCTGGAACTGAATAGCAAGCGATGCACATGACATAGTTTAGACAGGCTATCTAAGTACCCACTAGTATTTCCAGGTACCTGACCCGACACTGAACTATATTTGTAGCGATAAGAACAAATAATTGCAAGAGTTAATGCCGGGTGATAGGCACACGCCTGTGATTGAGCACTGTGGAGGCAGCCAGCGCTCGTCGAATGGACAATGACAAATATTGCGAGACTCCATTCCCGTGGGCATCACGGTGCAATACCATGGCTTGCCAGCAGAATGCAGTACGGTCAAGTGTCAGTTTTGTATGCGATAGAGTGCAGACCATGTCTTGGCGCCGGCTCAGCACTTTGCAGCCTGTGATTCCTCAGCAATTGTGAGATTTAATTTGCGTTAATGACGTTATACAAAAAAATAAATGGATTACATTACAGCTACAAAATTACGTCCATCTGAAATGCACGTTATTATCTTAAACAACTACGCTGGTTTGGTCTTCTGCGTGCGTGTCTGGACGTTTATTTATTTATTTACGGCCCCACCCTGACAGCTCACTCTGATTCGATAAAAATAAAACAGCTGGCAAAAAGCCAAAGCTCACTTTGATTCGATAAAAATAAATAAATAAAACTGCCGGAAGAGAGCGAAAGCATAGGTCTGGCAAGGTCTGCGCCGCAGTGGTGCAGTGCACTGTGGGCGCACACCCTGCGCTGTGTGAGTGTGGTGTGTATGCAAGTGTGCAAATGGTAGTTACGCTAATATTACGTATATTTATGTAAAAAATGGGTGCTGCGTGCTGCGATTAGTGGAGTCCCCAAACAACTTTACCTTACGAGTAGGCAGGGGTCGCTATACAGTGAGTCTTAGCGGACTGAGCTGGCAGCTTCACCTGCCGGGACAACGGCCAGTTGCGTAGCGCCCCCTACAGTTTCGCCCATGGGTCAATACCCCCATGGGGCAACCGAGCTGACTGTTTGATGGGTACAATGGGTACTATCCGGCTTATTACCATTATTATGTATTGACGTTCATCACGTCTCCATGGACGGCTTGCTGTCTACTTCCGTTGTGTAATTAAGATTTTGTGCATGCTGGTGATGGTAAGGGCATGTGTTGCATAATATGCAGCATGTGTCTGCGTATCATGTTTGCCACGGATGCAGTTGGCGTTACTGTACATTTATGATGTTTTGGAGTGCCAATCCCATGCACTTGGAAATGTAATAAACTGTCTAAAAAGGTTGCAGCCCAGGCCCACGCTGCTGTCACACTCTGGCCGTTGCTCAAGCCATATCGGAATTTTGCGACATGCTAAAACAATGAGTACAGTGTGACACCACCCGGGTAACTCCCGGGATCAAAATGGCCATTGGAAAGTGATCGCTTTTTTGAGATGATTATGGTACTACCACAGGGTATTGTGAACGGCTCAGGAGGAGGAGAGGTCTGGATTTGTAAGTCTCACAGTACTGGTAAGAAGCGCCGGGTGGGGGATGCCCTCCACTGGGGTACAAATTCTGTCAATATTAGTATACGATCATGCAATGTTTCTATCTGCAAGCTGTCATAACTCAAACGATCCCCGTTATTGTTCGATTGAGAAATGGAGTGACCCACACCTCTGATACCATATGTGAGGAACCCAAAAATCTGATGCATGCGTAAAACACCCACAATGGGAATACGTAAACGTAAACGTAAAAACACCAACAAAATACATTTTAATATAAGAAAAAAATAGGTGGCCCCATAACGCATCTGTCTGTGTGTGTACATACAGACGGAGGATGCAGGGGCCAACCTGTGTGCGATCGAAACGGTGCAATTGCTGACCAATGTCACTGTGGATGGCGCACACGCTGACGCACACCGGAGCTGTGTCTTTGCGATGCAAGGGCATGGTGGATGGTGGAGCGCATATGGATGGTGCGTTACGAATAAAATAAAACAAAACAAACCGCTGGAAGCAGCCATGCGAGCAGGCTACCTTGAGAGCGATCGCGAATGGGTTGCATGTCTGGAAGAAGCCTCGC